TAGCCTACGACGAAGTTACTTAAGCATCATTACAACAGACATAAACGTATTGACTTTTAGGTCTAAAGCACCAAAAAGGCTTTTGAAAATACACCACTGGTGGCTCAAAAATAAAGAAAGAAAAGTTGATTTCCGGTTCGTCGAGAGGAGATTTTTGGCAGCCATTAATCTCACCGGAAGCGCGGAAGGAGCGGTCGTGCCAGTCTTTCTCCGCATCACACATTGGACTAAGAGCGGACTGCCCGTTTCACCGCCCGGCCTTTTTCCGCCCTGGCGACGCCGATTTGAAATTACGAGCGCGATTACTCCCTGAATTGTACGACACAAGGTCCAATTACTAATTAATCGTATCTATAACAAATTTCGGAATTAAAAAATGTCTTTTGAGAACTTTTTTTGACTGAGCCAAAACGTCTGTAGCGCGTTTCCTAAGTTTTGAAAACTGAACGAAACAATGCAAAGGAAGCCATTAAAGCGCGCGTAATTGAAGTGCAAATCACGTGGGTATCCAATTACAATAAGTTCAAATTGGACACTTGTAATTGGACACCAACGTGATTGCGCGTGGACTACGTAGCAAATAGACGCACGGAGAGGCAATCACGATCGAGAATTTTGTTGTAGATACGATTAAGGGGGTGTTCCGGGCTGTAATATATTGGGCGACAAATTACTCCTTAACTTTGGCCCGAAAGTTCAGCGATAATTTATAATTACAAAATTGCCAGGCAAGGTTTAAAGCGAAATTTCTCGATACAATAAACAAGTGAAATACCCACGATTGTAAGCGTAATTTGTCACCCATGATATTAAAAGGTAATCAAATGGTATACTCGTGAACTTAGGAAATAATTTCACTTGCGTTTTGTAAAAATCACAAAAACTCTCTCCCTAAAGGCTCGGGAAATTAAATGAATTTTGACAAAGCGGACGTGAAATTATTTTCTCATTTCTCTCGTCACCATTTGATTACCCATANGAAAATACACCACTGGTGGCTCAAAAATAAAGAAAGAAAAGTTGATTTCCGGTTCGTCGAGAGGAGATTTTTGGCAGCCATTAATCTCACCGGAAGCGGGGAAGGAGTGCTCGTGCCAGTCCTTTTCCGCATCACACATTGGACCAAGAGCGGACTGCCCGTTTCACCGCCCGGCCTTTTTCCGCCCTGATGTGGATATATGTCGTTTCCGCTGCTTCTCCTTCGGAAATGAAAATCTTACATATTGTAATCACTGGCCGACAACAAAACAGAACTTAACCGGGTTTCACTGCCGGTACTGTAGTGAGTTTGTGAACTTTAAACCGGATGTTTTGTTCGATACCATTAAACGAACCTTAAATATTCGTTAAATAGGGTTTGTATAAACAAACCTAACAAACCTACTTATATGTTTTTCTACTATACCAGCCTCAATATCATTTTGCCCTTAAACTATGG